TCATCACCCCCACATAATTCACCACATGAAAGGTGAGTCATCACCCCCACATCATTCACCACATGAAAGGAGAGTCATCACCTCCACATACATGAAAGGTGAGTCATCACCCCCACATAATTCACCACATGAAAGGTGAGTCATCACCCCCACATCATTCACCACATGAAAGGAGAGTCATCACCTCCACATACATGAAAGGTGAGTCATCACCCCCACATAATTCACCACATGAAAGGTGAGTCATCACCCCACACACTCGAAAGGTGAGACATCACCCTACACACATGAAAGGTGAGTCATCACCCCCACACACATGAAAGGTGAGTCATCACCCCCACATCACCTCTACTATTCATCAGTTGTATGAGCCAACTGTTGCAAGTGTCACTAAACTGACTAAAACTAAACAAAAAACCTCCACTATTCATCCCTTGTACGGCCTAACTGTGGGTGGTTGGTGGGTGCTCCGGTGTGGTTTGCTTCTTCTTTCCTATAAAAAATCTATCTTCTCTATCTCCCCTCTTTCTTTTTTATGTTCGTTACTCTCTTGTAACACCTCTAATCTTGGGCTGTTATATGACCTTATTGTGTTGCAAGTGCCGTAAAATACTTAGAACAAAAAAGCGACCTAACTGTGATGTGTGTCTCTCCCCCCCCCCCCCAGGCCGACGAGATCCGACCACGGACTCCCCCACACCCAGTGCCAGCCCTCTCAGCACCTCTGTCAAGTCGGACGACTCCGACTCCTTCATGGAGTACATGCCCATGCGACCACGGACAGCCAGCGACAGCTACAACTACCGCCACCGCACCTCCAGCTTCGGCAAGATGCAGCAGTCGTGTCGGCCGCGCTCCTCCAGCCACGGCCAGGGCACTCGGCCAATCATCAAGTTCAGCAAGCTGGTGGGTGGGGAGCGGGCGCGGCTGTCCCAGGATCCACTACAGCGAACGTCACGCGACTCCTCGCTACACGGCTCCTTCGACTCGCTGCGTGTGTCCAGTGAGAGCTTGCGACGAACCTCTCAGGAGATGAGACAACACAGCGGCTCCAACGCCAGCGACTACGGGGACGCGCGGGGCACCCCGTCCCCTCAGCTCAAGGTGGCCAAGGAGGGGGAGGTGGGCTACGTCAGCATGCAGCTGGGGTCTGCGCGCCGTTCCTCGCCGCACCGCGTGCGAACCGACTCGAGTGGCAGCGGCCGGCGGTCTGAGGCAAAGTCAACCAGCTCGGAGAAACTTCAGCAGCACCTGGCGACCGGCGACGATTACACGGAGATGTCCCCACTGAGCGCGTCTGGGAGTACTGTGAGCGACGCGGGGGCTGGGGAGTCTTACATCAACATGGACTTTGGCTCCCGCAACAGCTTCAGCAGCGAGACAAAGTCTGTGGGCAATCTGTCGGCCAGTGGATCGTCCCGCCCACCAGACAAAGCCTACATGAACATGGACATGGACGCTCGCCGCGAGAAAGTGGAGTCCGGCCGCTCTGTGTCCATGGAGAACGTGGACTCGACCTACGTGGTGTACGACCCCTCCCACAGCTCCTCCCATAGCTCCGCCCACACTGTAGACAACACAGACTCCACCTACGTGGCCTACGACCCGGCACACGCGGGGAACAAACCCAGGACCGGCTCTCTCGGCTCCAAAGACAAGAAGTCTCGGCCTGGCTCCGGTCGGAAAAGCTCGTCTGCCTCCACGTCTTCGACGTCCTCCTCCTACAACCAGCCCTCGGTGTCGGCCTCGTCGCGGAAAGGAGGCAGCAGTGACTCTCTCCGTAAGGCCAGCCGCCAGTCGTCCATGGAGAAGACAGGAAGTCTGGGCAAGGACTTCCGCAAGAAGAGTGGCTCCACGGGCACGCGGCCAGCCAGCGCCAAAGGTGGGCCCAGCCAGCAGGCGGCTATGATCCCCGTGAGGAAACTCCCCGCCGCCCGGAGCCAGGTGGAGGAGCCCAGCGATGAGTACATCGAGTTTGACCCCTCAGTCACCGTGGATACGCCACACACTCACCTCATGCACCACCACCCTCACCCCCACCCCCACCACCCGGGCCCCCCCCCCATGAGCTGTGCGTCTCACGTGGTGCGGAGCGTTCCCCCGTCAGGGCTAGCAGCCAGCGGCACGGCTCGCATCCACCACCACCACCACCAGCCCCCCCCACCCTCCGGCACCCTCACCCACGACTCGGACAACGCCTATACTCTCTTCTCCCCCGGCCCGCCCCCACCATCATCGCTGTCAGCGACTTCGTCTGTCTCCCCCGCCCCATCCTGTGCCCCCGTGGGAAAACTGGTCCAGTTCCAGCCCAAGCCGCCTGCCTCTCTCTCCGCTCCACCCCACAGACCGGCCTCTTCTGCCTCCTCCAGAGCCAAGTCTGTGCTAGCCAAAGATGAGACGGAATACGTGGGATTCCAACCTGGGAACATACCAGCGTCCTTGTGTGCCTCCTCCTCCCTCTCCTCTCCCTCCTCCTCCTCTCCCTCCTCCTTCTGTCCCGCGTCCTCCCACCGCGCCAAACACGTGGAGGCAAAGGACGTTCCTGAGTACGTGGGATTCGAACCCCGGGGACCAACCGCTGTGTCGTCGGTGTCTGTGAACCAGTCCCCCCACCCGTCGACCGCCCGGCTCATTGACCAGTCAGAGTACGTGGGCTACCAGCCTGGCCCCGCCCCACCCCCCGCCCCCAGCGACCCATCCTTCCACAAACCTACGGGAGTGTTGTCCTACATCCACAGCCAGGCTCCGCCAGAATCAGTCACAGCCACAGCGGCAGCGCCAAGTGTCTTCAGCAGGCCGCGCCCCTCCCCCCCTCACAAACACGTGTCTCTAGACTCGGCCACCTCTGGCCACACTGGGGGAAAGTCTGGCTCTGTCAGTCCACGCCTGGCCGCTAGCCCCAGCCTCACGCTCCACTGCTCCTCCTCCTCCTCTCCCTCCTCCTCCTCTTCCCACGCCTCCACCTGCTCTCCTCTCTCTGCCTCAAGTACGACATTACCGACCACCTGTTCACCATCAGTCAGCAGCAGCCAGCAACCGTTGCCCCCCCTCCCTCCCCTCCCCCCCCTCCCCTCCCCACCCAGCATGCCCCCTGTCCCCCCACTTCCTGTGCCGGCTGCGATCACCAAGACGACATGTCCGCAGCCTGAACCCCCCAAAACGGAGCCCGCCCCCTCCCCTGCCCCCTCCCCCGCGACGACTGTACCTCCGACGGTATCTCCAACTGTACCTCCGACTGTCGCGGACACCAGTGAGTACATGACCTTCAGCCCAGCGGCGGCCGCCCCAGCCCCGCCCTCGTCCCCCAGAGCGACTCCCAGCTCCCTGCTCAAAGAGAACACGGCCCCCGGCTCCCTGCTGCCTGTGCAGGGCCTGTCTATGGTCAGTGAGGGGCTGGAACCTCACACCTCCCCGCTCTCTGTGGACGTGGGTGGGGGGGGCGAGGCGGCCTTGCTGGGCACTCACAGAACGCCTGGCACCTCTCAGTCAGGGAAGGGAGGCCACAAGAACGCGGCCAGGAAGGGCAACCAGTGGGCGGTTCCCTCCAAGGAGCAGCAGTTTTGTCGCCAGATGTCTGCCCCAGCCGCCATGAACCAACCCCCACTGGGCACCGCGGGGGACCGCACCCCTCAGCCCCCCTCCCCCTCCCCCGCTCCCTCCCCTGCGTGCCCCCCCCAACCTGCCCCCCCCAGCCCCTGTGTGGGTGAGGCGTGTGTGAGCGGTCAGCGAGTGAGGCAGCCCCACACCCCCCCGCCCGATCCCCCCTCCCCCGCCCCTCCATCCTCCTCCCGGCATAAACACAACAGCGGCCCTCCCTCCTCCTCTCAGAAGTCAGGTCGTAAGGTCAGTTCTTCTGACTCTGAGAAACCCCTACGCAAGGGAAGTAAGTCTGACTCCAACTCCTCTCTGACCTCGTCGGGCGGGAAGAGCAAGCGTCGGGCAGGAAGTGGGGACAAGTCTCCCCTGGGCAGCGCTGAGAAGAGCCCCCTGTCTCCGTCACGAGCTGGGGACGAGTTCTTTGGGCCGGACTCGGGTGTGGCCTCGGGGAAAGAGCTGGAGGCCAAGATGGTGCCGGTGGAGGCCAAGATCCGACACAGTCTGGGCGACATGACCGCCGTGGTGGGCGTGGTCAATAAGGAGGGTCAAGGTCACGGGGGATTGTCTCGCCCAGGAAGTACACCGTGCATGCAGACGCTGGATCCCGTACCAGACTCGGGGAGTCGCTCGGCCGGAGACGTGCCCGCCTCCCAGAGGTCAGGGGTCACTTCCTGTAGCACGACCGGCCCTCGTAGCAGACACAGCCTCTCCGACCTCGGGGCCTTTCAGCAGATGAACCTGGCCCAGCCACCCCCCTCCCCCACCACCACCGCCACCGGGAACACCACCGCCGCTGCCGGGAAAGATCTCGGCTCAAAGCAAAGTGCTGGCGGTTGTGGTAGCGGAGGTGTGGTGTTCACCGCGGGACCTAGCAGTGGCAGCGTGGGAAGTGGGGGGTCGGGCGGGGGTGGGGGGTCGGGGAGCGCGGAGAGTACGTCCAGCAGTGGGAGCGGGGAGGCCACCCCTAAACTTCTCAACTACGTCAAGCTAGACATTGCAGCGGGCGAGGCGGGCCGGGCCAAGAGCAGGAACTGTTCCGACGCCGATGAACGCCAACCCCCGGTCTCCTACGCCGAGATCGACTTTGACAAGTCTCAGAACCTGAACAAAGCTCTGGCCGTGGCTCATGCCTCCGACGCGGCGTCCTCCAAGTCTTGATTCACGCCCGGGCCAGTTGATTAGTCGGTCCACGTACAGGCTATAGCTGCGACTTCTCCCCACCAAACTGGACAAACTGGACAACTGGATGACTGGACAAGTGGACAACTTCACAACTGGACATGTGGACGACTGGACAAGTGGACAATTTGACAACTGGACATGTGGACGTCTGGACAATTTGACAACTGGACAAGTGGACAACTTCACAACTGGACAAGTGGACAACTTCACAACTGGACAAGTGGACGACTGGACAAGTGGACAACTAGACAATTTGACAACTGGACAAGTGGATGACAGGACAAGTGGATGACTGGACAATTTGACAAGTGGACAAATGGACGACAGGACAAGTGGACGACTGGACAATTTGACAACTAGACAATTTGACAAGTGGACAAGTGGACGACAGGACAATTTGACAACTAGACAATTTGACAAGTGGACAACAGGACAAGTGGACAACTTCACAACTGGACATGTGGACGACTGGACAAGTGGACAACTAGACAATTTGACAGCTGGACAAGTGGACGACTTCACAACTGGACATGTGGACAACTTCGCAATTGGACATGTGGACAACTTCACAACTGGACCAGTGGACCAGTGTATGTTTGTGTGTAGTATCCTGGCCCACATTTCAACTCACTGGACAGACTTTGATGGAAGAGAAAATGTTGCCCTCTCAGAGTTCTTCTGTACCGCTGTGTGCCCTCATGAGCAAAAGGAGAGACAAGATGTTGACTAAGCAGAGATATGTGGCTCCTCTGTGAAAACTGTGGAGCCAGTTGTGGTTGGAGGACCAGTGTGTCGTGTACGCTGTTCTACAATACAAGCGCTGGAGATGTACGTATGATAATGATCATTTCTCGTGATAGTTGACTGTAGTGGTTGTGTGTGGTTGTTGTCTGTGTGGGAAGTGACTGTGATACTGGGGAGTGTCGGGACTGGGGGAGGGATTTCTCCAGTCTTTTGGCATGTTTCGCTTTAAGGTGAAACAAGTGATATGTTTTATGTTCCTTTCATCTTTGTTGTTTTTCCATTTTGTATCATTTGAAAGTGAAAACGTTGAGCCAGGATGTTTGAGACACACGGAAAGTGGACCAGACAGAAATTTTGCATGAGAAAAATTAGGTTTGCAAAGAAAAATTTGTGCTGTTTTCCACCTTTTGTTTTTTTTTCATGCAGATGTTGGTGTAGAAGTAAAGAAAGCCTGAGTGATATAATGACTTTATATACCTCATTCTGTGAGACCTCCATGCATTTGTGATTTGTACATTGTGTGCCTATAGGTGCACAGTGGACGCGTAGAAACTTCTCGGGAAATTGTGATAGTTGTGTGTCTGTCACTGCACTGTCACACCTTCTATGGATGGACTAGGAATTTTTTTTTAATGGATTATGTATTTTTTAAAATACTGGATTACGCATTTTTATGAATGGATGGATTCTGAATTTCTTTTTAATGGATTACATATTTTTTTAAATAATGGATTACGCATTTTTATGAATGGATGGATTCTGAGTTTTTTTAATGATTTTTTTTTAATGGATGAATTGTGAATGTTTGTTGCCTATGATGTAAGTATGATAAAACTGACAAAAGACCATTTATGTGTGGGAGGGGAGCTGCATCTACTGTTAAAGCTCTCAAGATTGGAGATTTAGGTTAAAGGTTTTTTTGTTTGGCTGTGATGTTTCTTACTGACTGCATCATGATCATGTTGCTTTGTTGTGCAAACATTTTGGGGGGTTTTCCTGGTACAGACAGCTGATTTCTTCTGACTCTGGGCGTGCTACGACGTGAAAGAGCATGTCTGTCGGGTGCCACGGTGTTCTTGTCACAGATAGTTGTTGTTGAGTGAGGGCTGTCCCGTTCTTGTCACAGATAGTTGTTGTTGAGTGAGGGCTGTCCCGTTCTTGTCACAGATAGTTGTTGTTGAGTGAGGGCTGTCGTGTTCTTGTCACAGATAGTTGTTGTTGAGTGAAGGCTGAATGCTTTTTGTTTGCTTGAAGGAGAGTCGGTGTCTTCCAAGAAAAGCCGTGAGGGTGGTACATCATGGTCTGGGTCTGTGAGGCGCAAACTGGTCAACTGGCCACTCCTACTAAAATACTAAATGTTCTCCTTTTCTTTCTCTCGGTGTGATATTTTTTAAGTTTTAGTTCTGCCAATTTTCAGGAATGTTTTTTTAGATCTGTTATGGCTTTTTTTGTCCAAAGTCTAAGGGTGTTTGTCAAGTTTGTGTTTTGTTTGTGAAGTAGAAAAGATTGCCAAGGTTTGGACTTTGGTTTATTGTTCTTCTTTTTGCTTTTTTGTAGTTTGTACAATTTTGTATGTCTTGTAGTTTGTACAATTTTGTATGTCTTGTAGTTTGTACAATTTTTGTATCTGTGGTTTTTGTGGCAGTGTTCACTGTGTGTGAGGTTTTCATGAGGGACTGGAGATTGCCCGCCAGTTGTTGTGTTTATTTGTAGTTCATCCTGGCTGGCAGCTGTGTTTATTTGTAGTTCATGCTGGCTGACACTTGTGTTTATTTGTAGTCCATGCTGACATTGATAATGGAAGACTGTAAAATTAATGGGTCTCTTCTAGTTGGAACTTTTCCCGTGGAAATGTGGGTGTGTGGGTACAAGACTGGGAGAAACGCCAACTTGCCTGGATGAATTGGTGGAGCATAATGTGGTCGTACGATTGGTTCAGTGGACTTTGCTGAATACAACTTGGCATATATAAGAATGTGGATGATGAGGTCTTTTGTGAAATATTTGCCTCTAGCCTGGAAAGTAATGGCGTTGTTGTTGGGGGATTTTTTGGTTGGGTTTTTTTTTAAAAACTCTTTCAAGTTTTTTTTCAGTTCCGTCCAGCATTGACTGTAGACCACATGACAGGCTGAGGGCTGCCAAAAGATGTTCTGGTTTTGGTGGGAGAGTCGTTGACAAACATGCTGAAAATATCTTTTCAAAATGTTATTATTATATATTATTATTATTATTGTTGTTGTTATTATTATTGTTTCTTTAATGAATGGGGACGCTGGCTTTCCTTTTTTTCTATGTTGTTGTGGTCAGTGTTCATGAAAATTGTTGCAGTATTGAGCATGGCAGTTTGACATGTGTCATATATGTGTAACTGGTACGTACAGAATGTGTTTGACACGTGTCATATATATGTGTAACTGGTACGTACAGAATGTGTTTGACACGTGTCATATATGTGTAACTGACATGGCCATAATGTGTTTATCACGTGTCATATATATGTGTAACTGATGTAAACTATGTGTTTTTGACGCGTGTCATGTGTGTGTCGCTGATGTTATTGTATATACATATATATATATATATATATATATATATATATATATATATATATATATATATATATATATATGTGTGTGTGTGTGTGTGTGTGTGTAACTGGTGTAAACTGTGTGTTTTTGACACGTGTCATGTGTGTGTCGTTTATGTATAGAATGTGTTTATCACGTGTCATATGTGTGTAACTGACACGGAAAGAATGTGTTTATCATGTGTCATATACAGTGGAATCCTGTTATAACGAGAGAAGGGGACCGGAGCAAAATGTCTACATTATAGCAGGATTCTCGCTATAACTTATAAGGGATCCAGTGATAAATTCCAGGGAAACTGTAAAGTAGGCCTAGTCTATGGGTTTTGTGTTCTGTTTATTTCTTTTTGCTATCTCCCCTGGTGATGATTTTGTTTCAACATGACCTGTGGGTCTTATTTTATCAAAAATCAAATCAGGTTTCTTTCTCTAGCGCTAGATCTGGCGATGTTGACTGACAGTTGACAGCTCAGCGTTGGCGATCAGAAAGAAAGGGCTCTGGGCTAACTCGCCCGCTATGTTTTCCCCCACCCCACCACACCCTGTGGTGCATTCCGTCAGCTTGCGTACGTCACACATTCGCTCCATCCATCACAGCACTGTGACCTCTCCATCCCGGCATCAGAGAAGTGAGAGGCATGGTAGGCCTTGATAATCTAAACTAGGCTTACGCTGGCCTATCATGCGATGCGTTCTGCTTGTCTGTGCACGCCACACCCTCCCTACTCAGTCGCTCCGGCCTTCATTGTTGACGCACATTGGCTCTCCCACTCTTTGTTTCGCTAGATCACCAACAAGTTTCTCAACTGGCGAGGTTTTACATAATGTATAATTGGCCTATGCACTGTGCACAGCAGCAGCAATATTCCGCTATAACCAACTCTCATGTTTGTCTGATAGCGCTATAGCAGTATTTTATTTACAAAGGTAAAGAGGAGAAAAAAACAGGTTTTTGAATAGTGTCTTTATAACAGACTTCTCGTTTTTTCCGGACTCGTTATAAGTGGACTCCACTGTATATATGTGTAACTGACATGGAAATTATAATGTGTTTATCACGTGTCATATGTGTGTAACTGACTAGGAAAGAATGTGTTTGTCATGTGTCATATATATATATATATTATATATCTGACACAGAGAGAATGTGTTTGTCGTGCGCTCTGTCTCCATGTACAAGTTTTGTCCAACACGGCCAGAGTTTCCTTGTGTTTGATGCTCTTGTTTTGTGTGAGTGTGTGTGTGTGTGTGTGCGTGAGTGTGTGTGTGATTCCCATATTGTGATGTCTGTTGATGAAGAATACAAAACTATTTGGATGACTCTTGGTGTCCCTGCTTGTTTATTTTTCTCTGTTTTTTGGTTGTTGTTGTTGTTGTTGTGCTTTTAAGGACCAGCGGGCTAACCCAGATTTCGGGGATTTCTAGAAATCTTGACCAACACCAAAAGTGGGCATTGCCCTACCTATAGGAAAAGTTTGGTTTCATTGGTGTGTATATATATTTGTTTGGTTATAGAGAAAACACTCCTTGTCTTTTAAAGAAACAGAACAAGGGACAAAAACTTTACCTTCGATTTTCTCAAAACTGCATTTTTCGGGAAAGCCCACTTGTACTTAAGGAGCGATCATATATGTCTAATTGTAAAATCGCATCCGACACAGAACGGTTTCTCATCTCCCTGAAGGAGGTATTTATGTGTCAGGGACGTGTGTCCATCCTCTTGAAATGTTGGGAAAAACTGGTTGTGAAAGTTACAGAATCCTATACAGGATAACAACATGCAATTTGCCTATGGTGCCAAGAGGGGCGTGGAGGATGCCATTCTCATGTTCTTAGATAACATCCACAAACACATACACCGTACCATTACTGCAGCAGACTTTTGGTAAACACATACACCGTACCATTACTGCAGCAGACTTTAGGTAAACATATACACCGTACCATTACTGCAGCAGACTTTTGGTAAACACATACACCGTACCATTACTGCAGCAGACTTTTGGTAAACACATCACCGTACCATTACTGCAGCAGACTTTTGGTAAACACATACACCGTACCATTACTGCAGCAGACTTTTGGTAAACACATACACCGTACCATTACTGCAGCAGACTTTTGGTAAACACATACACCGTACCATTACTGCAGCAGACTTTTGGTAAACATATACACCGTACCATTACTGCAGCAGACTTTTGGTAAACACATACACCGTACCATTACTGCAGCAGACTTTTGGTAAACACATACACCGTACCATTACTGCAGCAGACTTTTGGTAAACATATACACCGTACCATTACTGCAGCAGACTTTTGGTAAACATATACAACGTACCATTACTGCAGCAGACTTTTGGTAAACACATACACCGTACCATTACTGCAGCAGACTTTTGGTAAACACATACACCGTACCATTACTGCAGCAGACTTTTGGTAAACACATACACCGTACCATTACTGCAGCAGACTTTTGGTAAACATATACACCGTACCATTACTGCAGCAGACTTTTGGTAAACATATACACCGTACCATTACTGCAGCAGACTTTTGGTAAACACATACACCGTACCATTACTGCAGCAGACTTTTGGTAAACACATACACCGTACCATTACTGCAGCAGACTTTTGGTTGGGTTTTTCATCCGCCCTCAAATCGATCCAACTCCACATATTGGTTTCAAAATTAATTTATGATTTTTTAAAAGGAACGTTATAGCTTGAATCTCCCCCGTCTTGTTTGTTTACGCTCTACACCAACGACGGTACTTTTGATGCATAAATAACAAAAACGTCAAACTAATAAAATTTGCGGATGCTTCCACTCTACAAGGCCTTATAACAACAAATGAGAACGAATACAGGGACGCTGTGAATCTATTTCCATATTGGTGTGATAACCACTTCCTTTTACTAACAATGTAAAAAAGAAAAATGTATAAATTCTAGGCATTCGAGTAAAAAAGAGAAATTGCCACCATTAGTACTCATTCATGATGAGGAAGAGGAAGCTGTAGTTCAATGACTCCTACAAATATCTTGGGGGAACCATCAGGCTAGACTGGCCTCCCCAGCTGCTCTTGTGCAGAACAAAAAAATAGCCAAAGAATGTTGGGTAAATTTTTACTTTTGCACCCACACATAGATGCATAAACTGCCACAAGTTTTGCTGTAGAACACACGCATGGCCACTAAAACCCTTGCAAATCAATTGTTTTCAAGTAAATATCAATCCTAATTGCCAAAACATCAAATCATTGTGAAATTCAGGGGGGCATGCCCCCCTGAAACCCCCCAGATTCGTTTTAGGTCAGGGGGGGCATGCTTTTTATCGGAGAAGTTTTCTCGATGACAACCTACTGTCTACATAAACAGACTCGTTTTTTTTAAAAATATAAAAATGTAGTTTCAAAAGTTCTTCTTTTTCTTCTTCTTCTTCTTTTTCTTCTTCTCTCTCTCTCTCTCTCTCTCTCTCT